TCCTGCTGACCCCCACGGTGAGTTTATTATGTCCCTGTTGGAATTTCAGAGCCCTTCCTGAGAGCACCTGGATCTAAGTACTACATGGATGAATCTGGTTTGTCTGTGGGTCCCAGGTAACCATGAGCTGGCCACACTCTCTCTGAGGCTGGATATTGGTCATTCGTATCTCAGGCCAGATCGGACAGCTTGGGGAAAGAGATTTCTTGGGTTTACTGTTGGTCTGTTGGAAGTCGGCAGCGGTGAGCTGCACGTGGCTGAAGTCCCTGCTGCTTTGTCATGCTTTGGTATTATACAAGTTGCAATAACAAAATTATACTGAAAGAGTTATTTTTGGCTTACCTTGAATCTTTGAGAGAGATACAACTTCCTTCAACAGCTGTGTCAAAACTAATAGCAGCAGTGCTTAAATGCTGTCTTCTTGCTGCATTCTCATAGTCTCTGTGTGAAATGCAAAGTATTTAAATCTCTCATCCAGTTAAGGTGTGGCCACCGCTCCGGATTTTTAGGTAGGAATTCAGTGTTAAGAGCTCATTTTTATAAACACTGGCTCTGCCCAGCTGTGGAAAAGGGACAGAGTACTATTGGGGCTGGAATAAGGGTCATCTTCATCTCCAGCTGCCCCTCAGCCCAGGAGCCGGGGAGAAGCCTTTCTGCAGCGGTGGAGGATCCAGGAGGATCTGGGAGATGGAAGGTGTGTGTGTGCTGGTGGGAGGAGCACAGCTTCAGTGCTTAGACAACACCACCATCAAAAAGCAGGGCTCAGGCAATAATCTTGCCTTTTGAGACACTTGAGATAGAGACCAAAAGTCAAAAAAAAAGGAGCACACAGCCCTTTTTCTGAATGCTGAGTCCAAGGAGAGCTATAACCCTACGCCACTCTGCTTTTCTTGATGGTAACAAGCTCGTACGGGTAGAAGATTGCCACCAGTCCTGCTTTTATACCTGGTTCTGCAGGCTAGCAGTCATGAAGCATGGCACGCTCACACTGCAGAGCACACAGATTGCTTTTGCAACCTTGGAGTTTTTTATTTAATTCTGTAAGCGAGAGCTGAGAAGTGAGTGTATTGAATCGATGTGGATTCAGTTGAATTTCATAAGCTTTGTACTTGCGTACTGATAAGAGACGGCAGACAGAAGAAACTGTTCTGCAAGCGTGGCCCCTGTGTGCCTTCGGTTACGTGATCTAGACTGATTTAAAATGTTATTTTGTTTGCTGCTAAAAAGAGCAAAGAATTTTAAGTATAAGAGAGTGGAGTAAAAAAGACCTCGCAGAGATACAGTCATAAAAAAAAATCTGTTCAGACATTTGGCTTGCGTATCTGGTTCCTCTCGCTCTTGAGCACTGCAGCCTTGCATTTTCCCAGAGGGAAAGGTTACGTGGTGATTCTTTTCCCCCCATTGTGTATTTTTACCTGTTCAAAAATGGTTTTGGTGAAGCATTTTCAATTATGGTTTTTTATATCCATCTGCTCTTTAAAAAGAAAGAGAGTCCCTATCTGTAATAATTACCATACTTTGCATAGTTAATAAAAGTCTACTTAAAATAATGGGAGAATAGCAGTCGTATTAAATTCCTTGGGTCATTTGACTTAACAGTTGCATTTGGTGGGCAGTGGCAAGTGTAGTTCTGCCGATGATGAGAATCAGCAAGCTGTTTAAACGTAATGGATTTCAAAAGTCCATCATAAATAGATCTGTTTTATTACTGTCATCCAGGTAAGAGAGAGTGCCTTAGTAATTTCTCTGGAGATGTCATACTTTATAGTATAATTGAGTGTAACTATACTGCTTGTCCCTCGAGACTGGTATTATTTGTAAGTCTACAGCTGTGTAACATCCAGCCTCGTGATAAAGGGAGGATAAAACAGAAAAGAATTTTGACTCTGCGGACCTTTGCTGCGGGTCCTCCTGTGTTGCTTTTGGCTGGCTGGAACCGGAGAGGTTTTGCATCTCGGTGGCATTTTGTCCTTTGTAAATGCTGGGCTTAGAAGTCATGCAGCTATTGTGCCGTGCCATTGCAGAGGAAGATACAGATATAGATATATATAGATATCTCCTGATGCTGGGACTGAGCAGAGACGTGTGCTCTGGTCCTCGGTGAGCTCCCCGGAGCTGGAGTGCATTGCTGCTTTTACTAAAGAGGCATAGCAAGTGTTCCTGATTAGGGCAGAGTGCCCCTGTGAGCCTTGTTTCATTTGTAAAGTGGATTTTAAAGACAGTAGGGATTCTGCTACTGTGTACGTTTCTGCGAGTACCTCATCCCGTATCATTAATGTGGAGATGGAGCAGCCTGCAATGAAAAAACAAAAATGATGGAAAAAATGGGATCAATTTATGTGGCAAAAATGGCTGTTTAATTGGATTTCATAGCAAGGTTGGGCTTTTCCACTGATAAAGATGCCACTAGGGTGTATTACAGTATTGTTCCACCATATGTGCGCTGGTGCAAAGGCCTGAAAAACATGCAAGGCTGCTCCTGGAAAAGACACCTAAAAAACTGCTTCAGTAAAATATTCAGCAAAAGTCATAGCGTCTGCATCTTTTTCACAGCATGGTTAGAGGAGATCCCCAGGCAAATTTAATCAGAGTTTCTGCTTCTAACATGCATTTTATTAACCCCGTGTTTTATTGTTCAACCTATACATTGATATTGGTTTTACATATTCAGAAATGCTGCTAAAAATCCAGCTATTTTCCGTGACACTTGCCACTACATTTGTTACCAAATAAAATGTTAAAAGTCTTTCCGTTTGTAGCATCTCAAAGATAATGTGTAAACCACATTAGCTCCAACGCTGAGGAATCTGGCACCCAGCGTAATAAAACACCGGGTTATTTTGTGTTTTATTAACTGCCCCTTCTCTTCAGTTTGCATAATAGTGAGTTAGATTTACATTTGTTAAGACGGCCGTGCATTACTCTTAATAGAAGACACGTCAAACTTCCTGTTGCTGGTACTGCAGCATGATAAAGTAACCTCATATGATACTGATGAAGATTTCGTTCACACTTGCTGGTTTCATGCAACGTCTTTTTTTCCAGATGGATACCCTATTGTAAAATGATTTCCTGCTTTAGGCTCTGCTTTGTGTAGCTCTCTGCTATGCCATCTTTCTATGAACTGGATAAACTGCCTATTAAATTTAATTACAGCCTGAATGACTGCACATCTTGATCTTATTTTTCCTCCAATGTACTGTATTTCACCAAGGTCCTTGAGGATGAAATAAAATAAATCTGAAGGATGCATACTCCAGTAGCCGAAAGAAATGTTTCAAAGGGCATTACAGTGACTGTTAACCCATTAGTTTAGGACCATTTTGAAGGCAATTCTTTAGGTTTAAGATTATAAAGATGTTTTCTTCTATCTTTTCTTCTGACATTTAAAAAAAACCAAACCAAACCAAAACAAATTGAGGAAGTTCCCAGAATAAAAATTCAAATAGAAATGATGAAGATAATTTCTTACCCCTTAAAAAGAGCAGAAGCGGGGGGGAGCATGTATGCACCTTCAAACTGTTCAGCATGGTTAGCATTTATTTTTTTTCAATAAGGGTCTGGTGTAAATATTATCGGCTCAAATCTCCGCCCTCTTGCAAGTCAGGGTGAACTTTGGGCTGTTGGTGCTCTTGGGGACCCATCGAGACTTTCCCCTTCGTGACCAGTGGTGGTCGTGGTGTTTGCAAAGGCAGCTACGGGAGCGGGTGAAAGAGCATCACAGCCAAGCTGAGCTCACCCCACGTCCCCTTGTCGACCTCTTCAGGCCCTGCGTGCTTCCTGTGAACCGAAGAAAGCTGATGGATTCAAGGGCTTCCGAGGAGTTGGACATCCTGACCATCAGCAGCGATGGTGGCAGAGTCACTAGAGATGTTTCCTCCAAGAAAGTGTGATCTGTGTAAACTGAACGCTTTTTGATGGCCGTGTCTGTTAGACTTTTAGGTTGAGGCTCCTCTCATTAAGCTTTAATTTCAAAGTTAATGAAATATTTTATCTTCAACCAGCTAAGATTAAGGCAGCTAATCACATCGGCTGGGGAGAAAGCTGCCATGTGAGGGGATTTTCCCCTACCTGCCTTAGGTACCTAACTGGAGTGGGTGGGCCTTTTTTTTGGAGATGCCTCTCTCCGTCTTGGTTAGTCAACAAGCTCAGATGAGACATGGAAGAGAGAAACTCTGCCTTTCGTTTTCTGTGGTTGCAGCTCAGCACCTTTTGCAAATTCATTACCAGCATATTTCTACAGGTAAAATTCCTCTTGCAATGAAGAGGCGATCGCCCAGATGCCGAATGCAGCTGCAATGCACACTAAACCTGGTGGTTTGTGAGATGGTGGGGGGACCGTCATGCTGGCTGCATCCCACGTCGCATTGGATGGAATGCTGGCAAAATGGGAATATGCTGCATGCTGGGGAAGGAGGAGAGGGGCCACGGGTATTTCAGAGCTCTGTCGTTACCCATTTCACAGAATCACAGAATGGTCAGGGTTGGAAGGGACCTCTGGAGATCATCTAGTCCAACCCCCCTGCCAGAGCAGGGTCACCTGCAGCAGGTTGCACAGGACGGCGTCCAGGCGGGTTTTGAATGTCTCCAGAGTGGGAGACTCCACCACGTCTCTGGGCAGCCTGTGCCAGTGCTCCACTACCCTCAAAGTAAAGAAGTTCCTCCTCATCTTAAGATGGAACTTCCTATGTTCAAGCTTGTGCCCGTTACCTCTTGTCCTGTCACTGGGCACCACTGAAAGTCTCGTCACCACACGGGAATCACGGGTGTGTTGGAAACAACTCACCAGGTCTCCCCATGCCCCCATCTTTTCTTGGGCTAGTGTCAAATAGATCACAGTAACTTTTGAGTCAGCTGCTTCTTGGCCGACATGTTAAACTTTTTCAAGGGTTGAGTGGTTATTCTGAATGTATGAAAACATTAGTTCATTCACAAACTTAACATAAATTTGCTACTCATCCTGGCAAATTACGGACTTTTTGATGAAGATACATGAATATATAAAAACAGCCTCTGAAAGGTGCAGCTGGAATGTCCTTGTAACACCTCAAACAGTAGGGTATGTGCTGGATGCGCCATCAAATGAGCATACAGCATTCATCAGCGCACATGGTGTTTTTCTTAACGTTGTGTAAAGAAATGCTCTTTAATTCATGGGAGACTGTAGCTTGAGAAAGCTGTAAAACTCTTGCAGAGCCACAGAGCAGATAAATTAAGTAGAACTAATTTGCTAAGACCTTAAGTATGTGAAACTATGTTCCAAATATTGTGCTGCTTTTTCCAGATGAGGACCCGATATTCTTGTTCCACTGTTCATTTATATTTTCTGGGGTACAACTGTAAATTGTCTCTCTCAATGCACTTATTATATAGTGGCAAGGAAGAATAATGATAGTGGCATTTGGAAATGTTTAAGTTCATTTGTATTCCTTGTACAGATGGCCTCTGCAATCGTAAGTAACAGAGAAATATCCAAGGAATTTTCAGGCGATTAATCCAAGTTTAAAACCAGCATCATCCCAAGAGCAAGCTGCAGAAAATGCCTGGAATGTTAATAGAAAGTACTTCTGGAAGGAAGACTCGGTTGTTGTTTCTTTCCCTTGAACACCATTTACTGAAAAGGGACGTTGTTGATTTATGGTGCCTTCTGTCTGTCTTTCCAGAACTCCAGCGCAGATCATCGGGTTCGACTGGACCTCGGGCTTTGGGACAAATTCAGTGAACTTGCAACAAAGTGCATTATTAAAATAGTGGAATTTGCAAAGCGATTGCCAGGCTTTACAAGTTTGACCATTGCAGACCAGATAACTCTACTTAAAGCAGCCTGCCTGGATATACTGGTATGTATTTTTAACATCATTGTTATGCTACTCCTGTATTTTCTATTGCTCTTTTTACTGTAATAGACAGGGAGAGGGGGTCAAATACTGTCCCGGCCTTACGGTTGCAAAATTGAACTCACCAGGTAATCTGGTGTGCTCACGAGTGGGCTCTAGCCTGTCTACAGACATGTGTTATAGGGGATGAGCATACTTTTCCAAATAAGTCCTTGTAGTTGGTGGATTTTGGTATAGTTGCAAGAAGGGCACGTTTTGGTATTGTTGGCACTAACTTGAAATGTGTGCAACTTTGGAAAAACTTCCTTATTGTTAACATGGAAGAGAGATCTCTTTCCTCCTCCCTCCAAAACCTAACGCTCTGTATAAAGGATACCTAGAAAGACAGTCCGCTGTATAATGTTTTAGGAACGTGCTGTACCTGTGGTCATGAGGTAATTTGAGGAACAAGAGACAAATCTTCAGAGTGAGGTTTTTGCGGGTTGTAGAGGGGAACCCGGTGTGCCCGGAGCCTGGCAGGCGCGAGCCTCTGGCGCGCACATCCCCCTGCTTTCACCAGTGCTGCAGGCACCTGTGGAAGTAGACGCTGTAATGGGCTCTGTACAGATTTTAGCTAAATGTCATTTAATTTTAAATAGGCAAACGTACAACCTGCAGCAGGGAGCTGTGCGGATGGACTTGGAGGTTTTCTCCAGACCTTGCCACTATGTCAAGGCAAGCTGTCTTCCTTCCCTTTGTCTCCGGTTCTTTCTGTCACGTTGACCTTCAGAGGAACCCTCTGGGATTTCAGCATTTCTTTCTCAAGACCTTAGAGGTCTTCAGGCTTTTAGTTGCAAATATGCTTCTTGTTCTTGGTCATAGCAATAACTTTCAGTAAAATAGTATTTTCAATGTGTTTTAAACATATTTTAGATGTTTTCTTCTGAGTACAAACCTTCAGGTCTTCATTAAGCCAAGCATGGCCAAGAAGCCTGTTGTAGCATGGATACTGTAGGTGTATTTTTTGGCACGACCCAGGAGTTTAAACTGGGGAATTTGAAGTTGAAGTAATTATCTTGGAATTTCTAGAAGTGCATTGCTTCAAACAGGATCATACTGAGGAGGACATTAACTGCTGTGACCTTTTCCTCTTGTTTTGTCAAAAGCGGTTTTGAAGAATTGCATCTAAAGGACATTGATGAAGGAGGAAGAGGGGTGGGAGAGGGGAAGGGTTCTCATTCTCTGGCCTATAAAAAAAGGGAAGGTTGAGGTTGCCCTGTCATGCTGGAGATTCACCTCTCATTGTCCCCTTGGTCCAGGCCCTCATTCAGACTTGACCATCTCCTCGTTACTGTGTGTGGTCCCCTGCACAGAGCAGGGCCATTCGTTACCAATTGCACGCCTGTCATCGCCAGCTCTGTCCTGATAAGACACAGTTACGTTCCCCTTACCCCGAAAGGTAACCTGTGGCGTTGCCTAAAGTGCATTCTGCCAGATGTATGGGCTGGGAACTGCTTTGTGCTTTGCTGTTGTAACCAGTAACGAAATGGTTAATACAGAAACTACCCAAAAACGGTGGGGAGGAGTCAGGATTTAGCAAGAATCTGCACGTCTAAACTCTTTACCCCTAAAACTTCAGGCCTTAAGCTGCCACCCCCTATTTGTTGCTGCCGTGCCCTGGCTCTGTAGCTGCTGGAAAAAAAACATACCCTAATTCTGTGATTGCTCAGTATGCTGCGAGGTCCTGGCACTCTTTTTTGGGGTGGGCAGTGGGAGCTTACCCCAGGATCCTGCACAGCCCCAGTGGCACAGGGTCCCCCCAGCAGCTCCACTCACTGCTTGTGTCACCAACACCGGCTGGATAATGTCAAGTATTTAGGGGTAGCCTTTCTGCTAGCGGTTTTTATCTGAAGTGCCTGGATAAAGGCACTTCACAGCCTTTGATCAAAGTGACTAAATAAAAGCCTAGTTGCCAGATTAGAAAAAGAATAATGAAGCAGGTGGTAAACGGTGACTTTATTTCAACTAATTAATGGATAGAAAGGGTCGATTCTTTAATACAGTTCACCACTTTTACTTTGTGGCCATGTGGCACCCTTCAAGCTCTAGTTATAAACTTTACTGAGACCCCATCACCTGCTCATGCTCTTTTTTATTTTTTATGAAGCCGGAGAAGGTGACACATCCGAGCAAGCAGGGCATAGCGAGTGCCACAGCTACCCGTAGCAGGGAGGAGCTGAGGCTTTTTCAAGAACAGGAGCAGATAAGATCACTTTCATGAAGAGTCCTAACTTTCCCGTGCGACATTTACACAAGCTTTATTGCAACTGTTTTACGTCCTGCTTAAAAAGAAAAAGGGATAATTACCACGAGCACAGTAACGCGTAGTGCGTGTGCTGTCCGTGAAACGCCCATATCCATTAAACCCACATCACCTGCACATCGTCGGAATTGCAGTGCCGCTCTGTATCTTTATTTAAGCTAAACCTCAGCACTTGGAGCAGTGTTGTAATAGTGCACATTCCCCGCCTCCAGCAAGCTAGTTCTCCTAATTATGAGGGGTGTTTCAAACGTTTTATTTTGTACGTGGAGACACGGAGTGAGCACCGTTTCCCATCCCGCTGCCGGTGCCTGCCTGTGGTCCGCTGTCTGAGCTCTGCCGAGCGTGGGACGAGCCTGGCTGCCCTGCGCTCACCATCCCGCTCCTGTGCAGTCCCCTGGACGTGTCCCCAGAGCCGAGGGGTAGCGTGGGGCTCCCAGCCCTGGCCAGGTGGAGTGGCCAGGCTCCCCTTCCACCAGCAGGACCCCAGTTCACTACCCACCCACCCAGCAGCACCGTCTCTGGGCTGTGGAGGAGTCTTAAGCATTTATAGAGCCTGCTGAAGGCTCTGCTCAGTTGGTTCCTGCGGCCGTGGGTGCTGAAACACCCCTCCCACCACCACGACAGGCTGATGAAGGAAATAGTGCTTTGAGCTCAGTAAACTCCGCTGGTTACGGGCCAAAGAAATGTTTTATATACAAACAACCAAAATCTCTGGAAGGGGAAAAACATCAAGCCTCACAAGGCGCCGATTGGGGATGGTGGAATTTATATCTGCTCTGGTGCCAAAAGTTTCAGGGATAAATATTGCTAAAATTCAGTCAGTAACCCTCGTAAAAGCGAGTGCTTCTGTCTGCTGGTACGCTGGCCTGGCAGCGGTCAAACATCCCCAGCCTCACCGAGCTCTGGCGAAATGAATGTGGAAAGAGCCTGGAGTCCAGCCTGACTCAAAACCTGAGAAATCCGGGAGTGCTAATCCTCAATAACGTCATTTTTGCTTTCTGTTGTAAAACCCTAATGGTAGGAAGGCACTTGTGTGCGCGAACAACCCGAGCTGGTGGGGTATGGCAGTGCCATGGAGGTTTGTTCATTGTTTCAGAGTCACCTGCTTGGGTTTCTCCTCTCGGGAAGCCATCCCAGCCAACGAAGGCAGCTAGCGTCCAACAACAGGATTCCTAAACAAAACAAAACAAAAAAATGCTTGCTTTAACTAATCTGTTTAAAATGAGTAACGATTTTATGGTAGCAATGATTTTGTAAATGCAACTTTCTGGCTGGTTTTGGTTTTGTGTGACCTGTAGGGTTTTTGCTTTGCACTTTGTAACTGGCTCATAGGAACCCCAGATGCTTTAAGATATAAATATTCCTTAAAACAAAGGGTCCTTTAATTGTGGGCAAGGACTTTATTTATGGCTGCAAGTGGCATTTAAAAGCAGAGTGACAACTAAAATACTTGGCTTGGTTACAAAATCTAAACAACATTGAGGACATTAGGAGGATGTCTTCTAGACAGCGGTGCAGTTTAAAACAGAGAAAGATACCGTGATTTCTTATTTTGAAGTGCTGACATTTCCCATATGTTCTTCAGTGAATATGAGCTTGAAATCAGCTTCACTTTGACACTGGAAGTTTGCCCAAGAAAGGTTTAGCAGCGAATCAGCAATATCCACCGCATTTTTGCAGATCTTGATGAAGGATACAAATTTTAAAAAAAAAAAAATAAATTCAAACGATCTGTCTCGGAGTTTAATAACAGCGTGTTGTGGGATAATGTCGAAGGAATGCAGGAGAAACCTGAGACCCGATTGCTGCAGTCAAGTTAAGTGCGTTGCAGAAAACACATCGTGGAGCTTCAGCTGTGCCGGTGCCCGGCAGAGCCACTGCTGCTGCCTCCGGCTGACAGCTGGCGCAGCGTTTAGGTGTGACAGCCTCAAGTCTGCCTTTTCCAAAAAGCCCCCCTACTCGCTCTCTAAGCATGGAAGTAGCTAAATTCCACAGGAAATTTATGTTTTAATTATAAATTTTGCAAGGCCCCGCAGGTCTCTTTCTGTGTGTGCCCACAGGGGCTCTAGGCTGAATAACCCAACCCCAAATTCCTTCCCGATGAGGATCCAGCCTGGAAGACTTCTTCTGCATTAGCCGTTGAGGGGCGATGATCTGGTAGGTCTTTGCTGAGCACCCCCAGCACGCACCCCCCGAACGGAGCGGGGTGTATGGCACCGGGGGGTGAGCACGGAGAGCTTCGCAGTGAGGGAGGCAGCAGCCCGCTGTATGGCAGGAGGCACACGTTTGGCCCCTCTTTTTTTGGGGATGACCACTCCAGGGCACCCCAGTCCCCCTGGGCTGGGAGTCTCTGGGCAGTGCAGTCCCGGCAGCCGGTATCCAGACTTACCCTCGGAGGGAGGATATGGAGGAACCGTATCTGTGGGTCCTGTTTGGGCAGCTGCGGGGGAGGCTGCCGGCAACCTTTGGGAGACACCGCGGTGTTGCCCAATTTAGCTCCAAGTCCTGCTCCGCCAATTTGTTGGGCTGGGAGTCCTGAAGGTGTGGAGGGAAGAACTCTCATTGCTAAGGATTATAAATTAAAATAGCACCAGCATAAAAGGGGCTGCCTTTCTCCCCAGCTTGAGCTAAGGGAAAACCAGTACCACCTAAGAAGTACAGAGCCTTGTTCCTCCAAAAGCTGGATGCCTCATCAGCACGGGCCACGCGCCCTTGCTGGGAGGCAGCTGCTGCATGTGCAGGCTTCAGGTGGGAAGAGCCGCACTCCCGTTTCTCTTGCATGCCATTAGAGAAGTAAACCAAGTAGCTCTTGGGTTTCTCAATTAATGTGCCAAGCTTTCAAACCTTGCTTTTCTTGAAAACAACAAACTCTGCATGTTACTTCTCCTTTCTATACAATCCTTTTAATGATTTAAAAGGATAACCAGCAGCGAACTTGAGGGGAGAGAACTGCCGGTGGTTACTGCCAGCGCAGAATATGGTAAACGTGCGGTCTCTTATTGACAGGGTGCCATGTTTTATAATGTTAATTTCTGCTAATAATCATGAAATACACTTCAGCTGTTACATAAAACCGTTGGGGTTACCAGCAGCCTTTTAAGATCACTTATATTAGTGGGGAATTTGCGGTCAGTGAAGAGTTTGAGTGCCATGCGTTTGTATTTGTGCCCGTCTCGGTCATTGATTCAAGTAATTTCAAGAGCTTATTCTAATTCAGGGTTAGGAGAACGATGTGAAACATGCCTGGTCCAACCACAGAGAGTCTCAGTGCCTCAACGCATACCCGCAGTGTGAGATAAGATTATTGCGGAGATAGAAAATAGTTGAAGAGCCTTCTGCAGAAATACACCCTATTAAGTCTCTTACCAAGGAATTTAAGAAGAGAAATAAAAGCTTCCCTGTAGGTCTCTTACGTGCCGTGTCCTCCTCGTTCTCCTCCCTGCTTATTTGGAGCAGCGTTGCCAGGCAAAGATGAAAGTGGGAGAACCAAGCCCAGACTGGTCAGCTGCCAAGTGCCGGGGCCTCTGACTCAGAGCTTCGGCAGCTATAGGAGTAATTAAAATTCTCCCTCTGCTCACTTACATTGGTGTAAATCTTTTTTGTTGAATCTTTAAAACCGAGTAGGATGACTGTATGGGAAATAAATACAGTCAAGCCCTGAAAAAATACAGCTGTGGTGTGAGCTCAGCTAATCAACTCGGCTTCTGCAAGGGCTTAGTTTAGTTTAGTTTAGGGATAGGCCTTCTCCCACCTCTGATTATTTCAAGCAGTAAGCATTGATATGTATAACGGAAATATGTCAACACGATGGGCATGTCTTTTATTTGATCCTTAAGGTGGTGTTCCTTAATAGCAGCTGTACAAATGAGCCCGTGCCGTACAGAGTCTATCGCGGGACACATCCTGGGCTCGCTCCGAGAGGAGAAAGCGTTGGCGCAGTCGCTCTCCTGCCTGTGCTGCCACCTCTGCCGTGACAGCGCTCTTGATGCTGCCGTTACCCAGAGGCGTTTACTAACAAAACGCAGAGCATCCTCAGTGGTTTATTCATGTGGTTTGCATTCCTCCGTGTCCAGTTAGAGGTGTGAATCCCCATCCTCCCCTCGAACCCTCTTTCATCTGGGGGCAGTGCTGGGTGGCTGTTGGCACACAAGCAAATATGCCGAGACCAACAGTGCCGGGGCTCATAGAGGAGCAAGTGACGCCCTCAGCAGTGGGAAGATGCACTTTGCACGGGGCGGGCAGGGTACGCACCCTGACCAGCACTGCCCAGAGCGTGGGATGGGGAAAACCCAGAGCCTCAAGGAAGGCTCTCAGCGGGCTGGTGAGGAGGTTCGGTGTTACAGCACGCGGAAGCAACAACAACCAGAAAAAAAGAAAAGCTGGGCCAACTCCTGAGGCTGCTGGCCGGGCTGGTGGCAGCAGTTAAGTTTGATAATGCGCTCCGGTGCGAGCTCCCAGGCTGGCAAGGCAAGCGGCGCTCGGTGGAGACTGTAAGTGCAGCTGCTCAGGAGGCGGAGGACTTCGCGCCGCTCTCCAGGGAGCCCTCACACAGGGATTGCGGTCACAGCACGGTGTTTTCCTCGCTGCTGTCGCAGAAGAAGGGAAGGCAGCACGAAGCACAAGTTACGTTTGGCCTCTTTTGCCAGCTCACAGCTGTCCGCGCCCGCGCGCACTCACACAAGGTACCGCAGAGACGCTTTGTACTTAGCAAAGACACAGCCCAAAGAAGCGCTGTCACGCGAGACTGATCCCCAAAATCAATGAAATGTGTATGTATATGTTTGAAAAGGTGAGGCATTTTTATGATCTTGCTGGATTGAACCAGTGGTGCAATAGCGTTTTATATTTAGGTGCGTACAGCGTATTAATTAAAGAGCAATTTATGTCAATATGATGGTAGTGTTGGTGACCTAAGTGGTGAGAATTGCATCGAAGTTTTGATTATTTCGTAACTAGGGGGGAAATTTCTGTTCTTAAATTTCTCTTATAAAAAATACCAATAGACAATCAAGTACATTTATGTTGTACCGGCAAATTTTTGTGCTACTAGAACCAAACAAACCGGAGTTTGATTTCAAATTGTTTTGACGTGACGGTGTACTGCAGTTCCGTGGGTCGTTTGCCACATCGAGAAAATGCAACAAACCTCTCATGGATTGAATTCTTCAGTTGTGGGTTTTTTTGTGTGTGTGTGTCCTTCCACAGATCCTCAGAATTTGCACAAGATACACACCAGAACAAGACACCATGACCTTTTCAGATGGCCTTACCCTAAACCGAACTCAGATGCACAACGCCGGATTTGGCCCGCTGACTGATCTCGTGTTCACGTTTGCCAACCAGCTCCTGCCTTTGGAAATGGATGATACAGAAACCGGTCTCCTGAGTGCCATCTGCTTAATCTGTGGAGGTATCGTACAGCACGAACTGGGATGGGATGCGTTTGAAAAGGACAGACACGATAGGATCTTCATTTATGTTTTACTTGTTTTGCTTTCCTGTACTAAAACATATATATAAAGTAGATATATGTAATATGATTGTATGTGCTCTAGAAACCACTTAACACTAAAGGTTTGTTTTCCACAGGTGATAGTTGTTGGTTTTATTATTGATACATTTTTAAATGAATCGAATCATTCTGTCGAGCAACTGATCCTATTATTTGCCTGATAAAGGACTAAAGGATATATTCTGCTGCATTCTTTTATCAGCGGTATTACGGGTACCTGTATGAATGACCTTTGTTACGGCAAGATGCCCGTTAGGCAGCTTTTACTTATAAATATAATTGCATACGTATGCATATAGCTACATTCACACAGAAGTCATTGGTGATAACTTTCTTTAGAAAACAAAAAAAGCTTATACTTTGAAATTAGCATAGTGGTTCTGATGACATGATTTGGAGGGGGCTGATTACAACTTGAAAGGGACATTGTCAATTAAAATCGGGTAAAATCATGGTTTTAAAATACAAAAAGCAAAGTCTCGGATAATTTCCGAAATCCTCTGTAAATTTCTGTTGGTTTAATCCCCTAGTCTCTCTCCTCCTCTGCAAAATCTGGACTAGCAATAGAAACACACCTTGTCTGGTTGGGCTGTTTTGTTGATACACAAAGTGGGTGCTACTAGAGAATGTTTAACCAGCAGGAGTCAGTCTTTGCCGACAGCGGCCCTTTGGTACAAAACCATTCCGATTTTTTGTGTCTCTAACCATAACCCATCAAAAGCATTGATGGGTTCAGAGATGTCATTGATGCGCGACGGGTGCATCCTGGTTTACGGGTGGCGTTTGTTGTCACTCAAGCTAGCACTGCCATCTGCTGATACCTGATGGTAACTCACTTTGGTTTAGTATTGATACAGAAACCACATTGGCTGTAATCTCTTTGTATACCCAGGTAGCGTATCAATGACGCATACAAAATTAATTCTAAAATAGTGTTTGCAGCCAAGTGTTTTCCTCTTGGAGAGTGAGGTACAAGAGCAAACTGATAGTTCTGGACCGCTCAAATGACAAAGATTTCCAGTCGCGAAGGAAAAATGAATCTAAGTTTCAGAAAGGCATGGTTTATCCTCTTCCTATGGAATACTCAGTACAGAGTGGAGAAAAAGAGGAAATTCATGGAGTTCTAATCAAGAACATGGAGAAGCTTCTGTGATTTGGAGTTGGTAAAACAAAAAAAAAATTTAAAGTCATACGAGTGATATGATACTTTTCTACAGATCGCCAGGACCTTGAAGAACCAATGAAAGTGGATAAGCTTCAGGAACCATTGCTTGAAGCACTGAAAATTTATATCCGAAAGAGACGACCCAACAAGCCTCATATGTTCCCAAAGATCTTAATGAAAATCACAGATCTTCGTAGCATCAGCGCAAAAGGTACAGTGTCTCCCAATAATGCAGCAACTGTCAGTGTTATGTTTCAGAGGAAACTAGCCTGGAGACCCGGGTTGTTATTTTTTTAATATATCTTAAGAAAAGTCCTTGTGACCTTTCTCTTCCCTTCTTTATGTAACTCCCGTGTTTAAATTGGTTCTGCTTTAAACATACATGGTGCTACATTCTTCACGCAACTTACAGTGAAAATGACGTCTTAGGTATAAGCAGGTTAGCAAATCATTAGCATGAACTCTTTGTTAGTTGTTTTAAGTCAAGATAAACCCCTGAATTAAACCTTTGTTAACGTTTACAAGGGGGTGTGGGTCAACATGTACTTTGTAGCACTAATGGCTTCCAAAAAACCCAAAGTCTGTTTACAGACAGCAGAAAACACTTGTGCATCCGAAATTCCCCTAAACTGTGGCCTGACGTACTGCAGATTTAGAACTGATTTGATCCAGGATTTTGGAGATTTGGCACCTCCAATCCAAACTAGCCATGCTTACACACGGATCAGTTTCGGTTGAACATTTTGTGTAGTCGTGTATCTGATTAGACAGGTCATGTGAAATACCCACAGTCTAAGCGCTATCACGGAAATTCTCTAAGGCACGGGGACAGCTGAATGCTTTGATGTCATCAGAGAGGTTCCCCACTCAGTGCTTTGTCCCGCGACGCGGACAGCCCGAGAGGGGAGGCTGGGCAGATGGGCTCAAAGGTAGCGGTGGACCGTCAGCGGTTTGTCAGCTCGTTAGCAGCCTCTGCGCAGCCCTGTTCTGCGGCTCGGAAGGTGACTGTGCTCCTCTCGTTTGTGTCCCCCTGCACCTCCCCGAGACCCAGTTTCAGACGTGTCCAGCTGTTTCATGTATGTTCACCTCCAAACTTCTGAGGAGCTCTGTGGGAGATGTACCAGCCTGAGTACACAGGAGTCTCAAGTGCCACAAGTCTTATTTTTTACAGCGATTGACGCAGTTCCACTTTCTTACTGTGTTTACTCAACTACAGATTTGTTACCCCTGATAGATAAGCAAGCACATGAGCGTGTATGTAACGGGTACCTTTGCAGCTATAGATTGGGTTTATGCTTTTGACAAAATTACAAATTTCATTTGACACGGTTTTTGAGAAGACTTCGGGGGGGGAGCAGTTAAATCACTCAAATAAATACACTTTTTTATATTAAAACCTAAACTGTTACACTTCAAACAATATATATCTAAGTTAAAAGATTAAGTTACAGCTATGTTTATAAAAAGTGAGCAATTTAATTGGATTGATTAGTACCAAAGGACTAACTTAGAAGGGAAACACCAGAGCTGGGAGCAAAAGTATCCTGAAAAGGAGCCGCTTACTGGGTTACCTAAAGCTTGCAGTTTACCCTCAAGCAAGCTCCGTCCAACTGAATCTACAAAATAAAATTCCAGCAGTACTGAGCTATAAAAATATTTAGGGGAGCCCTTTCATTCCACTCTTCTTGCTTGTGGGAAATCTGATTTCCGCTTTCCTGCTTCTTTGCCAGAGCCCCCCCCAACTCCTGAAGAACACGGCTCAGTCTCTTCACATTCAATGCACAAGAAAGGATCGTTTTTTCCATTCTGACATAACTGTTTACCTTTAATTATATCATTAATATTTTATAGTAAAACTAAATCATACCAAAGGACTGGTGATGTCCTCGAGGGGTGGGTGTGTCTTGGGTTTCGTGTGAAAAGATGTACATTAGAAGATAATGCCTCTTGATGGTACGTGATCCCAGAAAATGATTACCAAAGTAAGCATGAACCGAAAAGACCAAGAATGTCTCCTTACACCGGAGCTCCTTATCCAGCTACATTCGTCTGTGGCACTAGAAGTACTGTAACAAAAGCGGCAAGCTTTCGTGGGACTGCAGCAAGAGACCATCTTCTGACTTCTCTTATCCCAGTAGCAAACTGGAAGTTTGCAAGACCTGAAAAATTACTGTGGCTCTACACTGCAGTAACCACACAAACATATGGTACCGTAACCGACCTACTCCGTAACAGCAGAAAGCAGATATTTAATGTGGCCAAATTCAGTCCACCAGCACTGCGCTGACTACACATGGTTTTCAGAGCAGCTCTCAGCATAATGATGCAATTAACATCTTTCCGATGACAGCGCTTGCCCCTTTGTTCCTAACAGTTATTTAAGAGATTTTTCTAATCAGCATTCACTTGGAAAGTTGGTCAGTGCCTTTGTAGATGATTTTTGAAGCTCTGCAGTTAAAATGTGAACGCAGTGCTCCCTTTCCCTCTGGGGCTACCAGTGTGACTGACAGCGCGCTCTCTCCAGCACGGACACTGCAGCAGCGTGGACGAGCAGAATATATCCAAAGGTTCTCTCCTCTGGAATGATTCTTCAATAACCAGACTATTTTCTCTTGAATTTTGTTGGCTCTTCTTACCTTCCTTCACATTCAAAAAGCACAGATTCCTATTCCATTAGACTCAATTTTTAAGATGATTGGGAATGCAACATGTTAGACCAGGTATTTGAACTTGGAGGTTTATGGCTAGAAACTGTCTGATTTTGTCCTGATAAGAAAAAGCTTTTTCCCAACAGCTGCAAAATATGTAAAGCACATTCATGCCTCTGTGCGGAACAGACTCTTTACTGTATATCCTCACTTTATTTGAGGTGTAGTTCCAAAATACTCCTGTCTCTTTATGGTCCTCACCACTCAGTAGCTGAACTTTCAGCCCTTCAGCTCTGTCACTTGTTGACAAGAGAACGTCGCTGATGTTAAGCTGCGTTAGTGTAACTGCTGACTGCGTGGGGCTTTCTGACCATCACCCGCCTGTCACTATTAGCAGCAGCAGTGTGGAACAACCGCAGCAGCTGCACCCTCCTGCTTTACAGATCAGCTTTTCCCAGTAACAGCCTTCCTTTTCACTGAGAAGTTCTGCCCATCCGACATTTAAGGATTCCTGTTTGTAATAACTTATTAATGCCTCAGCAGTTCCCTCAGGGTTAACTGCCCAGTGCCAGGCGGGGGCTTGGCTGCTTTTTAAGTGCCGGCTGGGGCTGGGGCTGTACCGCTGCGTGCTAACTGCGCACAGTGCTGACGTCGTGTGCGAGTTAGGAGTGAACTGTGAGGCAACTGCCTGTTTGTGCCGTCCTCCCTGTACAGCCGGCGCCTTCAAGCAGCCTTAACGCATCTTAGGAGCATCAGCCACTGTTGTGTGGTTTAGTGTTTGGGATTTTTTCCCTAAACTAGTATTAGTTGTTGGCTCACTGTCTGAGCAGTCACGCTTCATGTAGTAATTTTGTTTAATCCTACACACAGAAGCCTACAAAGCCACCTCTATATAAAAATACCCGTTGTTATGGTTGACGAGGCAAAACACAGTTAGCTTCAGTTAAGCGAAGTCAGATGTAAACAGTATTAGTCTTTCTGTGTACTTTTGTGGTTAATTAGCACAAGAGAAGGTGCCTGAAAACTACAGAAGACAGCTTCACAAAATAAGTATCCTTTTGCCTGTATTTGCTCTTTTATAAAACAATGGTTTGTTAAATTCTGATTCTCATTTCACGGTTTGCTATATGGGAGAGGAAAGCTCTGACTTACGTCGCTGCACTTCTCTTATAGGATTTGCCTCACCTATTTAACATAAGTCAACCAGAATTTTTGTCATTCTATAGCCTTTGCAGATCCAGGACAGACTGAAAACTATAAAGTATATTCCAATTTATAAAGACATCTATGTGATCATGGTTAAATTTATTTTTCCAGTATCATTTAATGTCATTCTGGTTCCTTCTGTGAAAAGCAGTAGGTCATCCAGTTTACCTGTACCGTAATATCAGTTGCTATGGCATAATTTTAAATTCATTTGTTATGGAGTCCTCATCTAATTCCTTTTTCTTGTAATGAAGTCGTTCACTTACATAATTCTCAAGGATGTATAGAAGGAGACACCAAATCCATTAAAAAACATATGCTGAAATTACCACTGACAATGCTAACAAAACCGAATCCTACTAACAGAAAGGACTTTTTGTTTTCTTTTTAAAGGTGCAGAACGTGTCATTACATTGAAAATGGAAATTCCTGGATCCATGCCACCTCTTATTCAGGAAATGTTGGAGAACTCTGAAGGACATGAACCACTGACACCGACCTCAAATGGAAATACTGCAGAACACAGCCCCAGTATCTCACCTAGTTCAGTGGATAACAGCAGTGTCAGTCAATCCCCTATGGTGCAATAAGACATTTTCCAGCTACTTCAGACATTCCTAATACCTTATGTACAGGGATGAAAAGCAAGAGAAACATTTTTACTGCTGCTTAGTTTCTGGACTTAATATATATATCTATATATGTATATATATATAGATAAAAACTCAACAAGGACCAAGAAATTTTCATATGTATCGATATATACTCCTTGCTGTTTAAACTCTTAAAACTAGAAAATGCAAACTTTTGAAACTCTAAATCAGCCATTTCATGCAAAAAATAGTTAAGCTTCTGTTTTCTCCTCTGAACATTCAAGATTGCATGGTGACAAGACAGATCTCAAACTTTAAATTCTGGTTGCATTTCTGATGACTTTGTACATACAAACGTATGGCTGTACTTTCTATACTGGATGTTTGGTCCTTTCCTTTTGTCTCTCATACCTAAACCGATCAAGACACCAACCATCTGAAATGGACTACTGTACACATCCAGAAAAGGAAGTTTAAAGGACCGTCTGATTTAGTTTAATATGAAAACTTGTCTTTGATGCCCTCAATTTGCATCTCCTTCCTTGTAAAAAGTATACAAAAATTCACTGCACTAGCAGAAAAAACATCAGTATCAGCATTAACTGCCAGATCAGTTATTCGGATGTCATTTGTTCCACTGTTGATGTCACTTTAAAATTTAAAGAAGTGGTTTCTTACCCGGCTGGTGACCTAGCTACACAACTAACTACTACACTTCTGCAGTAATGATAGCCTCCAAGGCAGAAACACTTCTCAGTGTTACCATGTTTTTGTTTACTTGTTCTCAAGCCATTAGGGAAACTTCATGGGATGATAACCAGCAGAGTCATTTACAGCTTTTGAATCGGCGAGTCTAGGGTATTTCCTTACGAATCGGCTGCCAGGAATGAGCTGGGTTGTCCAGCCTTCCAGGCGCTAGGGAAGTACAGCTAGGACTTCCCAGAAACACAAGGAGAGAATCTGCCTTCTTGGCCTTGTTAAATCACCATGAAGCAGAGTGAAAACTGTGGTAGAATGGTTAACAGATTTAAAGTGTCAGTTTCTTAGGTTTCATTTAAAGCACTAGTGGATTTTTTTTTTATATATTCTAGCAAGTCTGTGATGTACTTTCACTGGCTCTGTTTGTACATTGAGATTGTTTAACAATGCTTTCTATGTTCATATACTGTTTACCTTTTTCCATGGAGTCTCCTGGCAAAGAATAAAATATATTTATTTTAAAAAAAACCCTAAGTGTGTAGAAGTAGTCCCTCTAGTCCAAATTTTACACACGCATGGTGGTTTTCCATTTTTAATGTTTAAACTTCATTTCAAAAAGCAGGTTTGCTGGTTGCAACCATGACAATTAAAATGTGCTTTAAGCACAGCTGTCTAGAACATCTCTACAAGCCAGTCAGACAAATACATGACATTTCAATGAGTAAAAAAGAGCATAAAACTGTAGGTGTAAGAACAAAATGTTAAAATGCCTACACACAATAAAAACCATCAATTACATTATCACATAAAATAAGTCAAATGTACAAAAGTTTGCGACAGAAGGGACAAAAAGACAACACAAGATAGTTGTTGGAAAACATTTTTGTGCTCTTTGGGCACTTAATTAAACATATCAAAATCATCATCTTCATCAGACTCTGCAAAATATTTAACTTCTTTTCTAGCCCGGCCTGTCCGTGGCTTTGGGGCGGTTTCGGAGGCAAAGCCTGACTGAAAGATTTCCACATCAGAATCCTGGTCAAAAGCGGCCTTCTTGGATTTCTTTAGAAAAGAAAAGACAAATCAGTTGTGATGCTGTGTACGTTTTCCCTTTTAGTCTTCAGAATTGAAGGAAACCTTCTCTAACATTTAATTTCTAAGCACACCTAACCCCCCATTATCATATTGGCACCCTCTAATAAGAACATGTACTGTTTATGTAAAGTAATCCATTAGGTTCTTTTTACAAGGAGAAAAGAGCATAGATGGGACTGACCTTGCTTGGTGTTGATTTAGGTGTTTTCTTCCCAGGGTTGTATTCACCTTCATTTTCTGAACTGGATGCTTTCCTTTTCTTTGCCCCTCTACCTTTTCCTAGGTGAGAGAATATGATTTAACGTTTTCTTTTTTAAAATAAAACTCCAGAGTTCAGCAAACTGGAAAAAAAAACCCTAGTGAAATTACTTTAGTATGTCTACATGGTAAAGTTCAAATTTAATTTACAACTCAAGCTCCACAACAGCAGTAAAATACCATATATTTTATTTTCTCAGTTTTAAATCTTTTATCCTTCTTCCAAAGTTACCATTCACCCTGGCAATTCAAGCTGTTGGCTCAAGACAGGGACAAACGTCATTAGATCAACAACTTGACTTCTGAAGTACTACAAGGCTTCAGTCACCTTCTGTACTGATTACACAGCATTAATTCACCTTTACTATTTAGTAAATTTACTGGTAACCTCAACCATCAACCGGGATACTGAAGAATTGGTTTAAAAAGCCAGAAATTGCTACTTACTAGAATTACTACCAAATGTTACTGTCTTGTAAAAAGCTAAGATCAAAGAAAGTAAGCAGTATCCAGTAGAACTGATGAACAAAAAAGGGGGGAGCTATTAAATACATTCCCCCCCAGTGAAGGTCAGATAAAAAGTTCAAGCATTTTTTGTCAAGAAAACTCAGTACACTGTGTTTGTCACAGAAAAGGCTCACAGATGAGTAATCTACTAATAAATCAATATGGTTCTAATTTTAGAGACACCAGTTCCGCTTCCTCACAAAGATGATTGTGGACCTGTGCTACAGAGAGCAGAGCACCAAATCTCTTACCTTTGGGTGCTG